TGCTTAATGTACTTAATTAACCGCCAAGCACTTCTGGACAGGAACTAGCTGTACAGGCTTCAGAAAGAACCTCAGATAGTCTCGGCCTCTGAGAAGCTTGCTCCTCCCTGCACATGGGATGTGTAGGTAGGAGCTAAAGCAAAAACACACTTCAGAAAAAAAATCAAAGGGGAAAAAGTGGTGGGAGAGCTAGGATCCAACTGACATGTCAATGGAAAGAGGCACTGGGGACTCTTCCTTTTCTTCACTCAGTTGCCCCCAAATAGACTTGGGAGGTATCTTTGGGGGATGTCTGGAAGGTAGTTTAGGGAAACCAGGCCCCAGGGGGAAGGTCACCTTGGTTTAGAAATGTTCTGTAAGGTTCCAAGAAGGAACACTCTAGCCCTGCTCCTTGCTGGGAGTGGGGAGTCATACAGCTCCTGGGAGATCCAGAAGGAAACTGGTTGCCCTGCCCTATACTGCAACTCAGGACCATCCCTCTTCAAACATGCACAAGACCCTCCAGTTGATCCACTGGAGTACAGTGAGTCTAGAGGGACTGGGAAGAAGGCAGAGGAAACCTTATAAGCTATAGGGGGTGGGAGCCAGAAGGGGAGAAAAAAAAACTCTGCCTCAGCCAGCATTTAACAAAATATTGGTTCAGCTGCTTTTCCTAGTGGTGAAGATGGGCTACTTTAATCAGTCTCCTAAGTCTCTCCCCCAGGCCTATTAGTAATCGTTTGACGGCTAATTAGGCAGTGTATAGTGGAAAGACCATAGAGAGCCCTTCAACATTCTTACCTATCCCTCTGACAGAGCCAAGAACAGTTTTTGCTCTAGGTGGCCCTCCCTGGCCTCTACTCTCGGCCATAGGATCCACACTTGGGGCTGGGGATGGGGATGTGGGGCAGGCTGTCTTTCTGAAACATGAATTACTTTGGTTAAGTCACTGTTCCTGTCTGAGCTTCAGTTTCATCTTTAAAATAAGTGTAATCTATGAATAAACTTTTTAAAACCCTGAAGCACTAAAGTATTATTATTGACAGCTTTGCTCAAATATCTACAATCTACCTAGGGGAGGCTTTAAAAGACTGGAGAATTGCTCCCTACCTCCCTTAAATAAAGTCTCAAGTCAAATTGTACAGAGGAATGGAGAAGGGACAGGTGAGCAAGTAAGATGGATGCTCCAACTGGCCCAAGCCTTTATCCTCTTTCTTCATACTCCAGGGGCAAAAGGAGGATAGACAGAAAGAAATAACCCTGCCAAGTGTTGCCACCCCTCTCACTTTCTGACCTTTCATGGGATAGTGTTGAATGAGAAGTCTCTTAGTTCCCTACTTGGGTCAGACTTGACAGAGAATCTGCATCCTGGTGTGGAAGGGAGAGAGGCGAAGGACAGGCTTGGTGTGGTGGTCAAGTAAATTACCTCATTCCCATCCAGTCATAAGTGCCTTGTTTGTCTTTATACACCTTTTCTTTCCAAAAAGAGTGGAAGGAACATATATTTCTGGAACAGATATGCCAAGAAAACCAAAATCATACTGCTCCAAAACACTGTCTTCCAGAAAATGAAAATGTCAAGATATTGGAGAGGCCCTGATGGTATCCTAGCCTCACTATTCACCCTTACATAACTGAGTGACTTAAGGTCGGTAACTTTCTAATTCTAACCTTAGTGTCATCTGTAAACGGGGGATGATAATGCCTGTCCTGCCCGCCTCAGGGTGTGCATACAGATCCAATGAGATAATGGCTGTGAAAGCATATTACAAACGGGAAAGTGTAGCAGTCATGTATGTAATGGATTCTAGCATCCTCACCCAGGATAACTGTGCCATATTTCATCTTAGTTTTTACACAGTGCTTCAATTAAGCCACATGTACCATCCTGGATTATATATTCTGCTCCCAAACCAAGGAGCCACTTGCTCCACTCACCTAAGCACTTTTCCCTTCCAAACCAGACCCACTGTGAGGAGAGGGTATCAGCCCAAGTGGCCCTTTGTGCATAAGGGTAGCCTTACAAAAACTTATGATTCCCACACCTGAGAACCTGTCATCAGAGAACCATGGAGAAAACAGTTCCATTTCATGTTGAGAAGCATGTGAGACTGGTGGAGACAGCTTAGCAGAAATTGTTTCTTACCTAAACCAAGAAAGCAGCTAATGGTCCATGAGCTGTCCTAGAATCAGGTGTCGATGAGAACCTTAGCTCCTCAGTGCCTTCCTCCTAGAACTCAGGAGCTTCACTATCATCCTAAACACCAAAGCTATGAATTTTGCCCTGGGAATCTAGAGGCTGAGTTCTGAGCTTTAGAAGACCAGGCACCAGGAAAGACAAAAAAAGCGAGTGTAGAAGAGAAAAAAAATAAAGCCAAGGAAAGACCACTTTAAAGATCTAAAAGACACTGATTTGAATCTCCACTAAAAAAGCATAGAGACTTATTTGCGGGGAGGAAGACCCTGGCAAATGGGCTGTCTCCAGAACTGTCACAGCCACAGAAGTCTAGGAGATGAGTGGGAAATTATGGTGCCAAGTTTCCCCTAAAATTTGTGTATGTCTGTGTGTGTATGTGTGTTGGTGAAGGGGCAGTGCAGAGGGGCTAAAAGGGGAAAGGTTTGACTGTGTCCTTAAAGGGCTAGGTAGATGTACACATAGAGTTCTGAGGGGCCCCTCCTTTAGGTCCACTCAAGCACCAGATCAAGGATGCAGGCAGTAAAACCCTACCCCATTTATTGCAGTCCTCTCCTCACCTCTCTAAAATAAAGTTGAGCTAGGAAAGTGTGCTGTAGTCCCATGCCTGGGGAATCTGGGGAATCCCAGGATAGAATAGCTAGGCAAGAAATGCTGTAGGTCAGTCTTGAAAAAATGGTGGCGAATCCTCTGACGGGATGGGATAGCATGTGCCCCATTTGTAGAGTACTTGCTGTTGTGGACACCACATCCCAGGCCCCTGCTTCTGTTATGGTATGGGAACAAGGCAGGAGAGTCCAGGGAGTATGACTGGTCAAGGCTGCCAAGGAGCTCAACTGAGCAAGTTAGAAACTTGTGGTATCATCTCAGTAAGTGCCCCCACACCAAACAAACAAACAAACCATGTTTTAGGCCAATAGTTTAGCATGCAATAGCAGAAATATAACACTTAGCTAGGGAGATGACAGTTCTACCCTATTCTATGCTGGTTAGACTAATTGTCGCGAAACTGATTTCAGCTGTAAACTTCAGAGGACTCCAATGTAGTGCTTTCCAAAGTGGAGATGCTGAGCAGGAGGCTCATTACCATGTTCAGGATATTTATAAGAAGATTCAGGGGCACATGGACTCTGTCTTCAGACTTCTAAGGGGTTATCAGTCACAGGGCAGAGGGGTCACTTAAATCTGTGTGGCCTAATGGGCAGAATTATAATTCATGGGCGGGTATTACAGAGAAACAGAAAGCGTTTCTTTATATTAAGTTCAAATCTACCAGTCATAGCTCTAATACACAATGGGCAGTAGAGAGCTCTTGGACACTGCAATTACGTGAGCAAGGACTACACAAACACTTGGTGGGGATATTATAAAAGGGACTCAAACATAAATTGGAGACCTCAGAAGAGGCCTGGGTTGGACTAGATGATCTTGACGGTACACCTAGGCTGACTGGGTTGATGCTAGTTTTGGCTTTCAATTGTATATGTTCACATTTTCTTAAGTGGATGGAGGGAGGAGTCACTGAGGGACCTGGGCATTATCTCAGCTAGAGAAATGTGGAATGGGTGGTGAAAACTAGTTGGTAAGTTGAAAAGTTGACACCAACCCCCACCTCACCTCTCATTCCACCTTGCGCTATCTAAGCCTTTGAGAAATTGACTTTGGCTATGGAATAGTGTGGCTGCAACGATGTGCTCAAGCATAGCAATGATTGTGAGAACGGCGCAGAACCAGGCACTGTTTCATTCTGTGGTACCTACAGAGGGTCGCAATGAGTCAGAAATGACTCAACGGCACCTAATAACAACAACATGGAATAGTCAAGGATCCCTGTTGGTGCAGTGGTTAAGCCCTTGGATGCTAACCAAAAGGTTGGTGGTTCAAGCTCGCAGCTGTTCTGTGAGAGAAAAATGTGGCAGTCTGCTTCCATAAAGATTACAGCAGTTCTACTCTGTCCTATAAGGTTGCTGTTAGTCGGAATTGACTCGATGGAAATGGGTTTGGTTTTTGGTATAGAATAGTCACAATGGTGGAGTTGGATGAGCTCTGCATTAGAGCCCCAACACCTGGGCTCTAGCCCAGTTCTGCCACTGACTTGCCCTGTGACTTTGAGCAAATCACTTTCCTTCTCTGCATCTCAGTTCCCATCTTGGTAAAATGAGGTCTAAAAATCCTGATCTCTTACTTCAAATGGGTGTTATGAAGATCAGATGAATGTAGTAGATGTGGATGGGATGTGTAAATTTTGACTGGGAGGAGGAGAGGGAAAGAAAACCCAACATGCTTTGAACACTTGTAATGCATCAGACACTGTAAAAGGCAATTGCACATGTGTTTCACATTTGACCTTCATGAGCACTTATGAGGGGGGTAGTAATTTCGACTTCATACAGTGAAGGATCTGAGACTCAGACAGGCAAAGAAATTCACACAATGTTACATAACTATTAAGGAATGGAGATAAATTTGAAATGTTGTGCTGTCAGAGGACAAGGCTGTTATGTTTTTTTTCTACTCTGCTATGCCTCCTGTACATATAAAGGGAGATAACTGAATGTGACTTTTAGATATTGGGGCTCTGAAAGGGCCTGCAAGTGGCCAGGATGGAGAAACTGGTGTCATGGCAAATGGCTAGTTTCCTGACATGTGTAGGCCTAGAAGTGTGATGACTGACTGGCTCAAAAGATCAACATCACCACTGTTGCCCCTCCACCCACCAGTGTTCCCAGCTTGCTGCTGTTCCTCCAACAGCCCTACTGAACAACAGTACTCCACAGGGGGATTCCTTGGGGGTAATTTCTAGTCTTTCCAGCTCACCTCAGTAGACTTAAGGGCTGGGGACTTCAAAGGACACATTGATTTCCAGCCTGTCTCCAGAGCTTTCAGCAGTGTCCTCCCCAGCCCCTCCCAAGTTCTCGACTGCAGTATAGGAGGCAGAGCTGGAAATTTTTTCCAGGTCCAGCTCTGTGCATTAGATGGGAGTGTGGACCCAGTGGGAGTGGCTCTCTGAGGCACAGGAGGTTACTGTAAAGGACTCCTGTGTGGAGAAGCCATGAGTTGAGCTGTAGTCGTCATCCAGGATGGGGTTAAGTGACTGGGTCTCAGAGATGCTCTCACTCAGTGGTGACTCAGGACTGGTCTCCTGGTCAGGTGGCACGGGGAAGAGAGATTCCTCCTCCACTGCCTTGTCAGCCTCAAACTATAGCCAACCTCCTGCAACTCAAAGCAGAAAATCACTGGATCACCCAAGGACAGGGGCTCCTCTCAGCAGAGCACCTCATCCTGCACAAAATATGTGAAGGGATCTGGGAGCTGGAGCTCCCCTTCCCCTCCCTGCAGATCAGAGCACCTACCACCAGGCCTAAGGTGACAGTTGAGAAACACACTTAGAGTGAGGTATCAGACTGGGGCTAGCTGGTGTTGGATCAGGGAAAGCAGTCAATTTATAGAGAAAGAGAAAACTTTTGTAGTAGGCAGGATTTTGACCCTATGATTTTTGGCCCTGATATTATGCCTGAGTAGTGCAAATGGTTAAGCACTTGGCTACTAAACAAAAAGTTGAAGGTTTGAATCCACCCACAGTCATCTCAGAAGAAAGGCCTGGCAAGCTACCAGCAAAAGATCACAGTCATTGCAAAGCATTTGGAGAACAGTTCTCCTCTGACACACATGGGGTTGCCATGAGTCAGAGTTTACTCGACAGCAACTGGTTTGGTTGAGACTTTATATTACATTATATGGCAAAAAAGAGCCCTGGTAGCACAAACAGTTAAGTGCTCGGCTGCTAACCGAAAGGTTGGTGGTTCAAACTCACTCAGGGGGTCTGCAGGAGAAAGACCTAGGGATCGGCTTCCATAAAGATTACAGCCAAGAAAACCCTATGGAGCAGTTCTACTCTGTCACATGGGGTCGCTATGAGTCAGAATCAACTTGGTGACACCTAACAACAGTACTTGTCAAAAGGGACTTTATAGATAAAATTGTGATTATAGACCTTAACATAGGGAGATTATCCTAGATTATCCAGGTGGGCCCAATGTGATCACATGTACTCTTAAAAGTGGAAGAAGGCAGCAGAGGAGCCAGAGAGACAGAGAGAGAGAGAGCATCAGAGAGATGTGACATGAGAGAGACTCACCCTGCCATTGCTTACTTTGAAAATGGAAGGGTGTCATGAGCTAAAGAATGTGGGTGGCCTGTAAAAGCTGGTAACGACCCTCAGCTTACAGCCAGAAAGAAAATGGGACTTCAGTCCTATAACGGCATGGAGTTGAATTCTGTCATCAACTTGAATGAACAAAGAAACAGATTCTCCCTCTAAAGCCTCCAGAAATGAACAAAGCCCTGCCAACACCTTGATTTTTGGCACTTTGAGACACTAAGCAGAGACCCAGCTAAGTATGCTGAACTTTTGATGTACTGAAACTGTGAGATAATAAATAGATTTTATTTTAATCTATTAAATTTGTTATAGCAGTGATAGGAAAGTAATATACCTATCATGGGTGAGTCTGATTCAACATCAGGTTACAAACTGAGAGTCTATGAAATGTGTGTTTGTTTGACCTACACACTGTGCTTTTTGTTTGTTTTTAATGCATTGCCAGTGTTTAAAAATATTTCACACAAAAATCCAGATTTCTGGCTTCTCTTGAAATTTCAGATGATCTTGCAACACTGAGCATTCCAATGTGGTAAGAAACAGGTGAAGCTGAACAGTGTATTTCCTTTTAGACAGGAGATGTACTCTCCAGTTTTTCATAGTCCCTACTTCTGTCTTTTGCACTATCCAATGAATCTAATTTACACATTAATCCCACCTATGCAGTCCCAGTCAGTGACCTCTGATAAACACCTTCCCCAAATGAGGAAATATGCAAACCTCTTTCCCCTTAATGAGACCCTAAAGGAGGTGCTTGCCTTTCGTATCTACAAGATGGATACCACATTATTATCTTGAAGATAGAGGGAGAGCAAAGAATGGTTACCCATATCTCCTCTCCTGAGGGAGGAGGAGGAAGACAGCTCTCAATTGTTCCCACATCTTCATCTTTCTGGGCCCCAGGGCCCAAATGCCTCATTGCCCACGCTTAATGCGCATGACTAGTGACTGGGAAACAGCTTTTATCTGAGACACTGGCCTCCAAAGTCAGAGACTAGGGATGGTTCACCTTAAGCCACAAAGTCCAAGAAGCCACTAGAGGAGAGGGAAACAGAATTTGAAGAGGGTCATAAAGGGACAACAATTCTGTCCTTGTGTCACTGCAGCCCATGAAATGCTAGATTAATCTCCATTTAAGTTTGAGACACAGCCAAATATATCTGCTGGGCTTTTTCAAGATCATCTGGCAGACTCTGGAGCCAAGTTAACCAAGGAAGGTCTCTATAAGAGAGATTTTCCCACACAAACAGAAAAAGGCTGAAAATAATAGTACTGCTTTGGCCCAGTATCCAGTGGGTTAAAGAGTTGTTCTGAGTACCCTTGTATCTAGTGAACTTTATCCTTTCCCTTAATCAGTTGACTCCATTCACTACTCTAGGTTCCTGTTTTGGTGTCCCTGCGTAGCTCTCAGTGCTCTAGCTGACATTGGAGCTGCACTGAGCTTTGGTACTCTTGGCTGGAGTTCTGGCTCCTCACCTTGCCTTGTCTGGTCTTCATTGCACTGCCCTCATCTTTGCCCTCAGTGAGTTGAAATTTCTGTCCCAAATTCCTGGCTAAAGGCTAGAGTTGTGCCGAAAACAGATCATAATGCTACTCATGACTTGAAATATTACTTTCCATCTGAATTTCACATAGCCATATCCTATAGGCTGGGTCAGACCTCTTTGGGTATCGATTTTGTCTGGAAAAAATCTAGGTTTGCCAATCCCTCTGGACAGTGGTCTTTCAGTTACTTTCATGGTGGGAAATTATTATACCGATATAGTTGCCCTAGAACTCACTCACTTTTTGACAATCATGTCTGTGCTGTAGCCAAGTCTTCTTCCATTCCAGGAAAGCTCCAAAATTTTTCCTATTAGTAGAAATGAAGAACTGGAAAAGAACTTAAAAACCAAGTAAACCAATACTCAGCTCTCATTTTAAAGAGAGACTCAAACAGACTAGATGACTTGTCTGAGGTCATACAAAGATTTAGGGGTAAACTTAGAACCCAGGTCTTCAGATTCCTTTCCCAAGAGGTTTCCCACCACATCATGTTCCTTTAGGAACCACTGAAATTTAATGAATCAGGTCCCCTAAACACTACGAGTTAGCCTCAGTCATTTCTAAGGCCCCATGCTGTCTATAGAGCCCTGGTGGTTCAGTGGTTAAGAGCTTCTCTGCTAACCAAAAGGTCAGCAGTTTGAATCCACCAGCCACTCCTTGCAAACCCTATGGGGCAGTCCTACTCTGTCCTATAGGGTCACTATAAGTCAGAATTGACTCAACAGCAATAGGTTTAGTTTGGTTTATGCTTTCTATTGTTTGCCCAGTCCAACAGAAGACCATCCCTGGGGGTTTCCAGCACTGCAGGGAAAACTCATTAACCCTCAATCCCAAAAACATTTCTTCTGCCAGTTAAGGCCTTGCTCCTGATTCATGTGAAATGTGAAGCAGCCATCCTTACCATGCTGGCAATGTTTGCTAAAGAACTGCTTGTAGTAGAGGAAGAAGAGCCCCAAGAAGACCTAGGTAAATACCACGAGCAGTCTGCTCACCAGTGCAACAAACATAGCTTCTTCAGGGGGCACTGTAAGTGCATCTGCTTTCACTAAGCTCAACTGGAAGGCACCTGTGCGACAAGAGAAGGGGGACTGTCAGTCTATATGGTCAATCAACAGTAACCTTGTCACTGGGCACTGGCACCCTACCACTTCCTCAAGCCATTGCCCTATCCATAGGACCTTTGCCAATTAGGGCTGCTATGCCGCTTCTTTTCTTTGTAGAGCAGGCAAAAGTATAAAGAACAAAGCAGGGTAACTTGCACAATTGCTGATATGGTATAAATTAGAACCACCACTTTGGAGAGCAATTTTGTAATATTTAGTAAGGTTGAAGATGAAAAACATATGGTCTTTCCATGACATTTCTAGTTATAGAAAAAGAAACAAGCTAAAATGTTCATCAGTAGGTGTCCTAGTTATCTAGTGCTGTTATAACAGAAATATCACAAGTGGATAGCTTTAACAAACAGAAATTTATTCTCTCACAGTCTAGGAGGCTAGATATCCAAATTCAGGGTGCCAGCTCCAGGCGAAGGCTTTTTCTCTCTGTTGGCTCTGGGGCAAGGTTCTTGTCATCAATCTTCCCCTGGACTAGGAGCTTCTCAGCACAGGGACCCTGGGTCCAAAGGACACATTATTCTCTGGGCTCTTGTTTCTTGGTGGTATAAGGTCCCTTGGTCTCTCTGATTGCCTCTCTCTTTTATATCTCAGAAGAAATTGACTCAAGACAACTCAATCCTGTAGATTGAGTCCTGCCTCATTAACATAGCTGCCCCCAATTCTGCCCCACCATCATGGAGGTAGGATTTAAAGCACATAGGAAAATCACATCAGATGACAAAATGGTGGATAATCACCCAATACAAGGAATCATGGCCCAGGCAATTTGATACACATTTTTGGGGGACACAACTCAATCCACAACAGTAGGTCACAGGATAAATAAATCATGGTATAATCCTAACATCTAATATGATTCTACAGCACTTAATAAATGACCTTTATGTTGATCCATTAAATATTAATGCAGAGTGGAAGAGCAATTTGGATAAAAAGAATGTATAGTATGATATCATTTATGTAGAACTTTATAAAATACAGAATAATATCATATAGTACCTATGAATATGCACATATATCACAAATGAATAAAACTAATAAAACATGGGTGGAGAGTATGGCAGAGACATTTAGTGCTCACCAGTTATCCACATGCTCCCCTGCATTTCCTTTGCAATAAAGCCATGAGAGTATTTCTGGCCAATGAACTATGAGTGTAAGAAATGTGTGCCACTTCTAGATTGAAACAGTTAAGAGCCAGTATGCCTCCTCCATCTCTTCCCCTGGAATGCACATGTTCTAGAAGGAATAGTCACAAAATAGATGAAGGCCTTTGCATAGTGCAAAATACTTTTATTATATTAAGTCACTGAGATTTTAGGGTTTATTTGTTACTGTAGCATACCCTACCATCAGGACACACAGAATTTCAGAATAGTGTTGTCCCTGGGGTGGTAGGGAGAATGGGACTCAGGGAAGGATCTAAAGGGAATTTGCTTATATGTGTGATATCTTTATTCTTTAAAAAATCTGAAGCAAATATGCAAACTGTTAGATGATTTGTTAATTCTGGATGCTGGATACCTAGGCATTTTTATTTTTATATTTTCCCATGTTAAAATTTTTATGTGTTTGAAATATTCTATGATTTTAAATAAATAAGCAGATAGATGATATATAGACAAACATGGTAGACAGACAAACATATAAATGGATGATGATAAAGGCACAGACTAGGCTCTAGTTCTTTATTCAGCCTTTCTACTGGTCCTAAATCCTAGGGACTTCTATAAACCTCATATACTACTAATAATAATAATAATTTACATTTCACAACATATTATAATTTATTAAGTGCTTTCTCACATTCATTATCTCATCAGACTTAAAAAACCATCTCATAAGTTATGAAGAACAATGATTATCATGACTGAGATTTTTTTCAGATGAGGAAGATGAGGTTCCATGGGCTTAAATGATTTCCCCAAGATTTCATAAATCATATGTTATGAAGTCAAGGTTCAAATCTAGCTGATTCCCTTGCCACTAACACAGGCAGGGGTACAAGATTGTAGGGAAAAGTCTTTACTATTCCACCTTGTTGCTATCCACCAGGTTGGGGAGGAAAGGAAAGGGAGAACTGGATATGCACACTGAATTTCAGAGGTGTGGGGTCTGCTTTGCACATGGGATACACTCTTGGTCCTGAAGGCCTCCAACGCATGTCTTACTGTAGGACTTGTGGTCAGAGCAATAAAGAATGGCATGGTGATCAAACAAGCAGTGTGCTTGGACTCCATAGACAGCTTCTAGGAGAATTACTCTCCTGAAATGCCAGAGCATACCCTCCCTTGAGCTCTCTGACTCTTTCTCTGCTTCTGACTCAGAGTCACAGGCACTCCTTTTCCCCCATTAACCATACTGTATAGCCAAAAGGGGAACTAATCCCACAAAAGAGGGAGCACTGCTTTGACACCAACTGGTTCTTAATTTCTTTGACATCTACAGTGAGATTTACCTTGAATCTTGGGCCTGGGCTAAGATTGCCAGCATGATAAAAAGGCTTCTGTTAAGTGCTCATCTGTAGCTGACATCACGTTAAGCACTTTATGAGAAAACACCATTTCTTCATTCTGGGATCTTAAACCCAACATGATGTTGACAGTTAAAATACTTCAACTAGGCTCTGAATGGTAAGGATGAGTGAGACTTTCAAGGGCTAGAGAAGGCCCTGAAGAGCTTGGCCCAATCCAGCGGGCTCAACTGGGCAGACAGTCCCTACAGTTGGCATTAGAGACAGCTGTGCAGTTGGCCTTTAGCACATGATTGATGACAGCACAGGTGATGCAAGCCTGACTTCTGTGGTGGCCCCAGCCGCTTTTGTACCTGCTGGGAGGACAAGCTGTCCAGTATACATCTCCACCTTCTCCATAGCCACAGTCCTACAGAGAGATAGGAGTCATTAACATTGCTCTGCAGGAGCTTGGAGAGAAAATCAGCTATGACACACGTAGACATGGTATAGAATAATGTTTTTAAACTGCAAGTTGCAATCAATTACTGGGTCATGAAATCAATTTAATAGGTTGCAAACAGCACTGAAAACTGAAATAGAACAAAATGAAATAATAACATCAAATATCAAAGTGCATAATATGCAGTAAAGCTACATATTTATATCAGTCAGCACAGGTTAAGGTAAGTTATAGTAAAAAGCAACCCTCAAATAGCAGCGTCTTAAAAGAAAAATGTTTGCCTACAAAGGGGTCTCCTGGGGATTCTATTCTACATTATCCTCCACTAGGGTACCCAGGGTTACAGTGGCTTCGTATGTGTGCTGCGTGATTGGAGCATCAGGGAAAAGAAAATGTTGTAAACTGTGCCCTGGCTTTCAGTTTTCCCCCGAAAGTGACTCAGGTCACTTCTGCTCACATGTCACTGGCCACATATTTCACCTAATCATTAGTAACTTTAAAGGGAGTGAGAAAATGCAATCCTACTACGGTCCTAGAAGGTGGGGAGCTGGAAATATCTGACAAACAGCTGCAATCACTACCCATCTCAGTATTCCTTTGTAAAAGATTTACACATAAAATATATGCAAGTATGCGCTGGGTTGTGACGAGAAACTCATTTTATACTCTAGGTCATGGTCAAAAATGTTTGAAAGTCACTGGTGTAGAGGAGAGATGAGCAATCAAGCTGGCTCTAGTCTCAGCTCTAGTATTGATTCAGAGTGAATTTGGTCAGCCTCTTTCCCTTTCTGGGTGTCAAAGCCCCGTAAACCTGAGGAGATTCGAACAGATAATCTCTAAGCTTTTTCCAGCTTTGACAGTCTAACCTCGATAGAGACAAGGCTCCTGCCCGATACCAGTCATAGCTCCTTCTCAAGGACACAACTATAGTTTTCAAGGGCTATTAGCTATTTGCTAATAGTGGCAGAAGCTGGCTGGTTGTTCACCAAGCTTTTCCTCCTGGAAATACCACTTGCCAACATTCCTCAGCACATTTCCAGTTAAGGGAGGCCATCTGCGTAGTTTCTACCCAATGAAATATGGGTGAAAATGTTGTATGCCACCCCCAGGCCTGGCCCAAAAGAACATCCTGTATGATGCTTCACTTCCTTTATTCTTAAATCTTCTGGTGTATGTGGACACCAAGGGTAACTTCAAAATCAGTATATTAAAAAATGACAGAGCTTCCATAAGCCTGAGTCCCTGCTGGATTTTACTAGAGCCAGAGATAAACTCTAATCTCTTAAACCACTAAAATTTCAATATTTATGTTGCAACAGTTAGCACTACCTGAGCTATAAAACACTAGATAAGCTATACTTTCCCAGAGGTTGGAAAAAGACTGCAAAAGTCAGCTGATAAACTCTCCTTCTATGGGGAAATGAGTTTCTTTATGCGGTCTTTTGCCTTGGTTCTGTGAAAAAGAGAGAAAAAGAAAATTTGGGAGATTATTTCTCTGGATGCTGAGGAGTTGTTACAGTTGCCCTAGTCCTTTGGAGAAGCTTGTTACTTTTGCCCAGGGAAGAAGTCAGTTTCTGCTGGCAGAATATGTCAGTTATTATGCAAATAGGTGGAGCCACTTGTGAAAGGATTGGCCAGTTTAGTCCAGTGAGGGGATTGGTCAGTTATTATGCAAATATGGTGCATGAAATCCACCCAATAGGATTGAGCCACTTGCCTATAGTCACACATCGCATAAAGTCCCTTAGGGCAAAGTTAGTGGTCCCGTTTTGTTTTTTTTTTTTTTAAGTGGAAGTAGCTCTCCTTTTGTTTATTATTTCCGCCTAATGGTTTTAAAGATCTCAGTCCCCTACAGTGAACCAGCAGCTGGGCTCCTGGGTGCATCCCAATTCCTGCAGCACCTCCTCCTTTGTCTCCTCTTCTACGTTCCCTCCTCCTGACTTCATTCACCCACCCAGCAGCCATGCAACCATTCACTCCTGGTACAGAGCAGTACCTGCTGCCACTCCTCTGCTCCTGCAGCAGGTGCTGGCAGACATGCAGGCGGGGCCCAGGGCACTGGTGGCGTGCTGGGTCCGGGCGGTGGAGGTGCCTGCACATGATCAGGAAGCATCAGCCAGAGCCGCCACTGCCAGCCACTCTCCTAGCACCTGCATACCCATTCCCCTCCCAATCCCCAGACTCACTTCTCCACGACCTCGTGCACCTCCCTCTCTACACCCTGACGTTCTGTAAGTCTGGATCTAATTGCTGGTGCAGCCCAAGCCTGGCCTGCAGCCGCAGGAACAGCAAGTAGGGCTGGGCGCATAACCCAGGGACTGCCTGTATATAGTAAGGTGTTTGCACAATGTACAAATCACATAAAGTCCTATATCACAGAATGTATAGTGGACGTTACAAAACACATGACTGTATAAGCAGCCATCCCACAGAGCTTGAGAGGGGACCGCACTACAATAAAAAAGAAGAGCCTTGAGTGGGGTGCATCTTTTGGACCTGGGGTCCCTCTGCTGAGAACCTTCTAGACCCAGAAGACAGAGTTTTAGTAATGCAACAGCAGCAGCAGAACCAGGAGACTGGTGCAAGACAGCATGGTGGCTTCCTGGCCCACGAAGCGAGGTGGTTACAGTGGGCTTGCTGACCCACAGAGCAAGGGAGCTGAACACCTTTGGGCAGAAAGGCTTGCTGGTGGAGTGGGGTGCCTCAGGCAATTTTTGGTGGAGATAAAAGAGTTTTAACACTTGCATGAGCAGGGCAGAGGCCAAGAGAAGGTCCAACCTAAGGGGATAGAGAGAAGGTCTGTCCTGAGGGGACTGAAAGGAAGCTCTTCCTGAGGAGACTGAGAGGACGCCTACACAGCCGGCCAAGAGAGAGACAGAGAGAGAGCTATCCTACACTACGGAAGAGAGGGATTTGCTCGTCACTCTGAGACTGACTTCCAGATCTTGCCTGCATGCTTCCTGACATTGATCCTGTTCCTGCTACTTCCAAGTTAATACTGATCCCCTGTTACTTCCCTAATAAACCATATTACTGTGATTATGGTCTGTGAGTCCTGTGTGGCCATTGTCACAAATTATTGAACCCAGTGGAGAATTAGAGAGTGCCATGAGGAGAACGGCTGTGTCAGAATTGGTAAAAAGTTTGGAGAGTGAAGGTGTGTCTGATCTCCATCTCATAGGAATCAGCTTTGGATTAATGCTGATGCTGATTCTCCTTCTTCCTGAAGTTAGACAAGGCTCGACACTATTGCTACTACATTACACCTGCCATCCTATCATTTTGCTATCCCGTTTTGGCTGTGGTCAATTCCTCACAGCCTTGCTTGCAATTATTTCATCCACCAAAACCCAACACTCAGATGGATACCTGGGATAGCACAGGCCTCGCGGGTGGTGGCTGTCTTACATGGTTTTTGTCCATTCTATTCTGGATATATGGGGGGGAAGCTGGCTTCTTGGAGCCTTTGCTGCCTCATGTGCAGCAATGAAATCTTGATGGCTGCCGTATCTGCCTTACAGGGTGAACTGAGGATCAAAGTAATAGGCAATACAGTGTATCCATAAGAAGCTCTTTTAAGGGCTAGAGAGAATTAGTTTTAACTTCTACCTTTATCACTGACAGTCAAGTGTCTTCAGGCAAGTCATAAAGCTTGAATTTTATTGTCAGTCAAGTTGGATATAATGCTACCTAACTCACAGAGTTGTTAAGATTAAGTAAGCTGACAAAATGAACAAAACAGAAAATCTAGAAACACCAATTACTTATAGTAATTCAGTAATAACAAAGGGAGCATCTCAAATCAGTGGGGAAAAGATGGGCTTTTTAGTAGATGGTGTTGGATAACTGGACTGCCATTTAGAAAATGAAAAAATTGCGAATCATCCCTTACACAAAATATCAGAATAAATTTCAAGTGGCTCAGAAGTTTAAATATAAAAAACAAAGCCTACAAGTATTGAAAGAAAATATGGGTGTGTTCCTCTTTCAGCTGGGAGTGGGAAATTTTTCTTAACTACAACTCAAAATCCAGAAGCAATAAGGAAAATCTAGATAAATTTAATAGATAAAATTTTTAAAAAGTTTTGAGGGGTAAAAGATACATAAGAAAAACGACAAACTGGAAAATATATACAATGTATAACTCAGAAAAAAGGTCAATGTTCCTAATATATAGAAGAACTTTTAAAATTAAAGAAAAAAAAATCCTACAGAAAACTAAATATAAACTTCACAGAAACAAAAGCATAAACGGTTCTTAACCAGATGAAAATATGCACATCACTCATAATACAGAAAATGAAACATAAGACTATACTGAATTACCATTTTTATCTATTATTAGTTTGGTGAAAATTCAAATGTCTGACAACAGGCTGTGGGAAAACAGTTATGCTTATACACTGCTGGTGGCAATGCAAAATGGCATAACCCTTATGGAGGGAGATTTAGCAACATCTAAAAAATTACATAAGAATTCACTCTTGGACCCAGCCATCTCACTTTTAGGAATCTATCCTACATAGAAAATGTCAAAAATACAAAAAAGTACACACAAGACACTACTCATTTCATCACTATTTTTAATAGCAAAAGACTGGAAGTAACCTAAATGGCAATCAGGAGGAGACTGGCTGAAAAAATCTGTGGAAAATACACAATGGGGAATTTTTTTAAATGTTAAAAGGAATGAGGACTATCTCTGCATACTATAAAGGAATAATCTCCAGGATATATTGTAAAGTAAAAAAAAAAAAAAAAGATAAAGTAGGCTTGGTTCAGATACACACACACACACACAAACTTTTGTTTATATTACAAAAACAAGCTGTAGAAGAACAAATCATAAAACTTAAAAAAAAATGGAGGAGAAAAGTGTTACCTACAAGGGAAAGGAAAGAAAAGTTAGGAAGGGATATGATAGAAGTAAGACTTGTTAAAATAAACTTTGTTTTATAGGTTTGGCT